ATTATTGTTTTCTTGCAATCCGTTCTCAGCCAAGCCGGTTTATGTTCTCTGACCCTTTGGGATAGCTACCTCATCGTTCGTCCTACATAACTTGCCAAACATGTGCAAGTGAAAGAATGAGTAATCATGGATGAGTAGGGGATGGACAGCTTAACCTTGAGGTTTGTGCAGAGCTGAGGCCGGCTTGTAAACATCAATCGTAGAGTGGCGGCTGCAAATGTTCGTGTATTAGCTTCCTCCAGACGTCTTCTTACTATATCACCACTGGAATCTCCTTTGAANACGGGAGCTGCGAGAATAAGCCTTTATTTTTGGCCGTGCTGGGTTTAGGCACTGTAGGCTTTTCTACGAGGTTCTTCTCAATGAGCCGCTCCGGGTATCCGTTATTAAGGAGTGTGGATTTGATGAATCTAAATTCTTCCTGCACATGATCCTTGGAGCAAATCATTCGAGTTCTGAAGGCCAAGCATTGAACTAAGTTCCGTTTGAATTTGATTGGGACGAAACTTTGCAAATGGGTGTATTGGCCATTCCACGTTTGCTTTCGAAAAATAGAACGGAATAACTTTCCACTGGGCCCCTTCTTCAGGTTGACGTCGAGGAAGTGGAACGTGTCCTCATTTTCTGTTTTCATCGTAAATTCGATTAACAGATGAGATCGGACAAGTACCCTCCACTCTCGATCTCGTTCTAACGAGGAACAGCAATGACATCGCGGGAATAAGGACCGGAGTTCCTTGAGGCAAAAGCGACCTCTCATCCGTGTTCTTCAAATTTCACCGATTAGAAAGCCCGAAGCCCAAAACTAGAACTGAAAGATTCCACAACATCAACATTGATGACTTGGTCAACGGAGCGAGACTGCATATGTACCTTCTTCAAATCGGTTTCTTTTGCAACGCTAACACGGATTCATCAAAGGTAGATCTTGTCTAACAAATCTGTTGTTTCCTAGACGTAGTAACACAGGAATTAGATAAGTGAGAGGAAGTCGAAGTTTGCTACCTCGACTTCCAGAAAGCATTCGACTCAGTTAACCACAGGTTGTTAGATTTCAAGCTCCGAGAAACTGGGCTTGATTTAAAGGTCTGTAACTGAGTTAGAGCGTTCTTGTTCAAACGGACCTACAGGGTTCGTGTGCGGGGATGTCTGTCGGAGGTGGGTTGCCCCAAGAGAGGGGTCCCAAAAGGATTCATCCTAGCTCCCCTTCTCTTTCTAGTGTATGTCAACGACATTACGTCAGGTTTGAAGAAACCCTGCTTTTTGTGCGCGGATGACATCAAATTAGTTGGAAACCCGGACGACAGGTACTCCTTG